AGTTAATGCCAGTGATTTACTGTTGATTAACCAGCTGGATTTTAAACCAATGCAGTAATGCCAGTAATGCCAGCTGATTACTGCATTACTCATTGTTTAAATCATTGTTAATCACTGCATTACTCATTGTTTAAATCATTGTTAATCACTGCATTACTCATTGTTTAAATCATTGTTAATCACTGCATTACTCATTGTTTAAATCACTGTTAATCACTGCATTACTCATTGTTTAAATCACTATTAATCACTGCATTACTCATTGTTTAAATCACAGTTAGTCACTGCATTACTCATTGTTTAAATCACAGTTAATCACTGCATTACTTAGTGTTTAAATCACAGTTAATCACTGCATTACTCATTGTTTAAATCACTGTTAATCACTGCATTACTCAGTGTTTAAATCACTGTTAATCACTGCATTACTCATTGTTTAAATCACAGTTAATCACTGCATTACTCATTGTTTAAATTACTGCTAATCACAGTTAATCACTGTTAATCACAGTTAATCACTGCATTACTCATTGTTTAAATCACAGTTAATCACTGCATTACTCAGTGTTTAAATCACTGTTAATCACAGTTAATCACTGTTAATCACCGTTAATCACTGCATTACACCTGATCGCTGGGCTGCTTGCAGGAGAGTCGCCGCACGAGTCGCCCGGACACGTGCTCATGAACCGACGCGGACGCCCGCCGAAGCACTACTACTCGTCGCCCGCGCTGCCCCCTGCTGAGCGCAGCGGCACTCCAAGCAGCGCCACGCTCAGTGACCAATCGCACTCCCACAACCACTCGCCAAACACGCCACTAGGCGGCGGCAATGCGGGCGGCGGCGGCGGCGGCAACCAGGACCCGATGTGCATGGCGGTCGAGCTGGCGGCGGTGAATCATTCGATTCTCGCGCTCGTCGGCAACAATGACGACGAGACGAGCGACGACAACGGGGAGATCAGCGGCCTCAACATACCCAACATCAAGCAGGAGTACGAGAGCCACCTCGCAAACAAGTGCCAGTTCCAGAACGGTTGATCGCCCGGCGCGGCGACCCCCGGGGGATGCCACGGCGACCCTGGTGGTTGCCACGGCGACCCCGGGTGATGCCATGGCGCGGCGACCTCGGGGGATGCTACGGCGAACCTGGGGGTTGCCACGGCGACCCCGGGGGTTGCCACGGCGACCCCGGGGGATGCCACGGCGACCGTTAGGGTTTACTCTCGCGCGAGCGGTTTCGCACCGGTCGACGTGTGCGTGCCGTGGAACCGCGGTAGGGGCGTGCGCACATAGAGAACGGGGGAATGAGGGGGTGGGACTTCGATCGTGCAGGCCGTAATAGCGGGGTTATGAGTGGAGCAGCTAGCTCTTCCACCTTCTGGTTCTTACTATGTGGCATATATTCAAGATGTGTGTGTGTGTGTGTCTTTCTAGAGGTACAGGTAGTACAAGAGGGTTCCAACGTGCATGCAGGCGTGGTGTAAAGGCGTATGTGCTCCTCCGCCCCTGCAGATCTCTCTCACTCGCTCTCTCTCTCTCGCTCTCTCTCTCTCTCTCTCTCTCTCTCTCTCTCTCTCTCTCTCTCTCTCTCTCTCTCTCTCTCTCTCTCTCTCTCTCTCTCTCTCTCTCTCTCTCTCTCTCTCTCTCTCTCTCTCTCGCTCTCTCTCTCTCTCTCTCTCGTGCACACGCACAGTGCGAACGTGCGGCGTTCCAATTACACTGTTTTTAGAGTTGAGAAAAGTTTTTGTTATTTTCTTCCTATAAAGAAGTGGTATTTTCGACTGAATCTGTTAGTTTTAACGCCGCCTGTGACATTTCATTAGAATTTGAGAAATGGTGTCGATGTGTTAATATGGGCGTACAAATTCGCATAGTTGTTCATGCCATGGACACAGTTTTTCAGCTTGTTTTTAAGAAAAAAAAGTCATATGGTGTCGTATAGGTGCACCAATTTGTTCGATGTCATTTTTCTTGGCACTTGCCTTTACTATAACGTGAAATTTGTACAAAGTGTCTATGCTGTGTGCATTGTCATTGCTACTGTTGTAATCGGACAAATATGTATATACTGTAATTAATATTATATACAAAGCTCTTGGAATTTTTAGGGGCCGGGTGTTCCCATCACAGGGGCGAGCTTAGGGAGGAGATTTTTATAGCAGCGCGGAGAGAGCGAGTGTAAAACAATCAAAGAACGTCAAACGGATGCTAGTTTCTGCGATATATGGGATATCCCACGTGTAAGGTCATGGCAGCTTTTACACATCTACTAACATTATAAGTGCTATAATGAGTGTGCGGTAGATACTGGGACACGACAGTCTTGCTTTGATGTGTTATTGTTATGATTGCCCAAATTTTCTGGAGGGAGCGTAGACGAGACATACGTTTGCTCAGAAAGGGTCGACACATTGTTGACTGTGGGTTTAGGTGTAATGTGTTAGGTTTAAGGTTAGGATTGTAACTGTGTGTGGCCTTAACCTGAACTCTAAAGCTCGCTCTAAGGTCTTAGCGAGCAATTTATTCTGTGCCTCTTTGTGTTCTGGCGATGGAGAAGAGAGCAGCAACGTTTACACCGTACCAGCGTTGCTTGTATGCGTGTGTGTGTGCGTGCGTACGTGCGTGCGTGCGTGCGTGTATCGGTCCACGGTTTCGCTGAGAAGAAACTTGGTTGTTTTCAAGCTTTGCATCGTTCTCTATTTATCCCCCCCAATGAATTTTGTCTCCCGTTTTTTCACTCACTCCTGTGTTTTATTTAACGCGGGCAGCAATGCGTTTCGCTGTCGCCACAAGCGTATGTTGTCGTTCTTAGTCTCGCCGAGTGTGTGGTCGTCGTGTTAGTTCGAGGCGGCCGTGTTTAGTTTCTAGTATTTTTTTTGTAATTTTAGAGTTTCTGTGATGCACGATCGTGAGAATCGGTTGTTGCTGTTGCTGTTGTCGTCGCGCGTCGCCCGACGCTGTCGCGCTGTGACACGATCTCCCGACGCTGTCGCGCTGTGACACGATCTCCCGACGCTGTCGCGCTGTGACACGATCTCCCGACGCTGTCGCGCTGTGACACGATCTCCCGACGCTGTCGCGCTGTGACTCGATCTCTGCGGTGTGTCCAGGTCAACCCCGGTGTCGCGTGTCGAGTAGCTGCGCCGCCGTCCTAGGCAGTAATTTGTGAATGCGTTCGAGAGCCGGTGTGTATGTGTGTGGGGAGGGGAGGGGAGGGGGGATCATGATTACGATGTGCTCCTGAGGATATGCTGTGCGTGGTGGGGGGGGGGGTTAGGTGAGGAGTGGTTGTTGCGTGAACGGCAAACAACACGATCTCTGCTTCGTTCTGAACGTTGTGGTTTTTCTCGTGATCTTTCAACTGCTCAGTTATAGAGAGTGTTCGCCAGCCTTGCGCATGTGCGTGCGTGCGTGCGTGGGTGCGCAGATGGATGCGTGCGTGCGTGAGTGCGTGCGCAGATGGATGCGTGGGTGCGTGCGTGCGTGTGTGGGTGCGCAGATGCATGCGTGCGTGCGTGCGTGCGTGCATGTAATGTGGGAGAAGCAGGTACGATTTAAGCAGGCTTCGTTTTTGGTACACGTCTCCTCTGCCGCTGGCGTAGTAGTGTACGCGGCAGGTGTTGGCCGTGCTGGTAGCCTACTCCCACGCCTAGTGCTGTTGGTAGTCACGCGTGTACCTGCGTGCGTGTGTGCGTGCGTGCGTGTGTAGGTGCATACTAACGAGCGGCTTCTCGTTCGTCTGCTAGCGCGTGTCGGCGGCGAGCTGCTCGCGTGTTTTTTGCGTGACGTCGGCGCGTCTGTCTGATTCCCGCCGACGTAATACGTCGACGCCGCGGCGTCTTATCTAGTCACAC